GACCTATCACTGTGCTAAAGGCCTTCTGAACAGACAACAGCTGGTCAAAAAATAGACTGAATATATTTAATATACAATAAAATATAAATACAACTTTTTCACAAAGTAAAACCTTTGCTTTTGTTCTTCTTCCATTTCTTCTGTTGTTTAAATGTAAATAACCATCGGCCATGTTTTTTTTTACTATTTTTACCGAGACTGAATATGTACTGTATGTTGTACGTTGAAGGCTATGGATGGGGACACAACTATGAGATAACAAGCTTTATTAGATAATGTACAGACCTAGTCCTCTAATACCTCTAGAATCTTAGACCTGAGCATTGCATTCCATTAAGACAGTGCTTCTTAAGACATTTGTCTGAGACCATGCCAAGGCCATTTTTTTTAACTTGGATTCCCCAAGTTAAGAATGGTCAAAGATGTGTAAATATTGAGGGGCAAGAGCTGGTGAGTTGGACAATGTGATGCATGTTGTTTCAATTATGGAGTAGCTGCCACGGTACCTACTTTATAGATATTTAGTAGAACTGGAGCATGTCATGGATAATGTGATTTGCTGAATCATGACTGATGTTCAGAAATCTGGCTATAATAGTCACTCAGTGATCTTCCATTAGTATGGAACCAGCTGGGGTCATATTATGGTTACTTTATCTCTCGTCTCTTCTTTCAGAGACGAATGACATCAGAATGAGAGACAAAATTCATCTCTCAGAGACAGGCGATTCTGGTCGTTCATAACAATTTCGTCTTTGTTGATGTCATGATTCTATTAGGCTAATTATACACATTCAGATTATCTGTGCACACAACACAGTATAGAATTTTAACCAGAGAAATTGTAAAAGTTTCAAATATGTAGAGTACAAAATTATAGATCACGTGGTAATGAAAGAATGTATTCAAATAAAGCATGTAATTTTGATAAAGATATGTTTTTTTTGTTTTGTAACATTTTTAAATATCATAATGTCAAATGTCTTGGGTAACATTGTCTCTTAACAAATAAAAATTTTATTAACCTAAGTTAGAAGAGCATATGTACTTAGGGAGAAATTAGAATGGTAATATTTTAAAAAATACTTAGAGAGACAGATACGGTTAACAGCATTTTCAATAGTTCAGAAATTGATGCAGGATCATTAAAAAAAGATAGTCAGTGGCATTCCTGGGTATCTGTTTTAAAAAATCATAAGTGTCATTTATCTCAAAATATTCTTTTCTAAGGTTGTATAATGCAAGTAGCATCCAGTCATCCATATTGGATATAACAAAATAAAGGTAACAGATGAAAGACAACTATCTGCTCATCTCTGAGAGACAAGAGAATCTTAGAAAAAGTTGTCCAGAATTGCGTTTGGAGAGATGTGATGATTTCTCAAAATTAAACAAATGATTAGACAATCAGCGACCGGCTTGTGACATAGACACTGCCTCTCAGAGACATGAGACGATAACCAGAATACGTCCCCAGCTTCTGCAGTCAACTCTGGTGCCATTACTTGGTGTGCCTGACCTAGTTAGGGAGCATTTGTCTCTATACTCACATTGATTTGAAACTTCCTACTCCATATGTCTGCCACTTCAGCAAGTATACATCACTAATGAACTTTCATTCATCAATAATTTTCAATAGCTTTTACCTTTTCACTGCTAAAAAAAATAGATGACAAAACACTGCTTGTCTTTCATTCACGTTGTTAGTAGCATGGCCATCTTTACATTGCTATTATAACAGCATGTAGCTGGTCTGCACAACACTTCTATCTGCAATGAAGTCCTTAAATTATCATCAGTTCACAAGGACAATAGTATGATGTTTAGAAGTTGTCACAAAAGGATCTACATTTAAAAACAATCTTATTTGTTTAATGTTTATACATTACCATATGTTTTTAGTGTAAATTTGGAATTTTGAAATTTTTATCTGTTCTATTATCCTTGAATTGATTTGCTTTACCTCTGATGGCATTTTGCCATTTTTGTTAGCTTTCTACCAGTAATTCTTGAACATCTTCACATAGTCATATCATCAAAGTTTTTCTTCTTCTACCAACTTAGCAAGTTTCATGATCACTTTGATTTCTTTTTCTACAGATTTGACCATATTTCCCAAATAAAGTTATTCTAGCTATACTTTTTTCTAGCGTACGTGTAATATTGACAGCATTTCTTCTTTGAACAACAGAGCTGTGATTCTGTGTCATTCTTGAATCGAAAAATGTTTCCATGTCTTTCACTTCAATAGATTTGGTATCAATCTTTTACAAATTCTATTATTTTGATTTTCTGATGCAATGAATTTTTAAAGTAGATAATGCAAAGATTCACAAAAAAGAATAGAAATGTTGAAAAATTACATCCAGCACCAGCATACAAAAGTTCAAAAACACTATGTTTATGCAAGGTATTTTTTAAAATTAGAGGATAATTATACATGAATGATATAATTGTATGCAAGCAAGCTAACTGTCTTGACTCCTCGGCTGTTGTGACTAAGCGCTCCAGGTAATCGTCAGATTTTATGGGAATAAAGTGTCCGTGGTCGTCTCGGCTTTCTGTCTGTGGAGTTAAAAGAACAGAGTGAATCCAAAAAACACCTCTCATGTTCAATTTTCTTTCTTATTTTTTGCTATACAGTAGAGCCTCGATTATCCGACCTAATTGGGGACTGGGGTTGGTCGGATAATTGAAAGGGCGGATAACCAAAAAGTATGAAAAAATCTATTATTAGTGTAGTATATTATTATATCCCATGTAATTAGTATATTAGTATATCGCTATTAACCTACTTTGCGTTGAATTTTCATCGATGTTAAGCCTAACAAAAATTTTTAAAAATAATAATCATCGCTATTGTATCGTTAAAAATTAGAAAGTTAAGCCTCATTTAAATACTGGCTCCCTTTCATGGTCGATCCAGTGTTGCCAGCTAAAACACGTAAAAATAATATTAAAGTAGCCAAGACATGGCCAAATATTGTAGCGTCACATCAATAGCGGACATTTGAAATTTGCCAACTAGGACGGTCGGTTAACCGAGGTGTCGGTTGATAGGGGGTCGGATAATCGAGGCTCTACTGTAGTTTATATATTACATACTTATATACATTAATATCCCATCTGAATCTTAATTAATTAGAATAATCTGAGTTCATTCATCATCTCGTTTCCTCTCTTTTCACAGATGTTTTGTGTTATGGCAGTCAACTGAACAGTATAATTTTTAATAAACTAATTTCTTTATCAAACATTAAAAGTCGTCAAAAAGATTAAAATTATTATATATAATAAATTGAGATTTTATTATAATAATCAATTAAAACAATCATTTTTGCATTTGAAATTTACAATTCACACTTAGAATAGGAATATTTTTTAATTAATGCAAGTTCTGTTTTCACAACAGTCGTTATATTATGTGTTTACAAAGATTCAGTTGCATCATCTGATTTAATGAATGAACTAGGACTATGGTTGCCACAAATGTTAATACAGTATTAGATTTAATGCAGATGTCGTAGCAGAAATTAGATTTACTTGTAAACCTGTTCAAACTTAACATTTATAAGTTAATGTATTCAAAAAACTTTTAATAGGAAAACAAGCAATTATTTATTGTGACATTATCATAAAGCCAGGCTGCAATTTTTAATCATATTTTTAATAATTTTTAAATTTAAAATATATGCTCTCCACCTTAAATTAGTAGTGACTTGCCCCTGTAAATCATACTTTTCCATTGGTAATAGTCATCTTGGTCATCTATGTAACTCCTTTCAGGGGAAAGTTTTTGAGTTGAAATAACGTGACTTCTGGTTTGCACTGGAAATTCATATATAGTTAATTGGGGTCTTCTGCCCCTAAGGTTTCCATATCTGGTATTGGCTTTCATCTATTTAACTCCATTCTCAAGATTAAGGACAGACAGATGGATGACAGTGGGCATTTATAGGTCTACAATTTTTCAAATTGCATCCCAATAAGTGACACAATATGGTTCTAGGAATGATAACTATTTGAAGGAAAATACTCAAAGTTATTTTATTTTAAGAACATAATTGTCAAATATTAGTCAGTCTTTGCAAAAATTAAAGTTTATTACTATACAGATATGAATTGGCTAATTTTTTTTTTTTTTTGTTTATGACATCTATTATGATATGAAATAATGATAAAGAAAATTATGATTTCATATTTCATTCAACTAATACTTCTATAATTATATTATGTTAAATGAAATATTATTGAAAAATATAAATAGGTAATTATTTAAAAATCATAATTAAATTATTTCTTATATATAAAAATGTTGCTTTAAATTTTGCATTGGTATTCAAGAATATGAATCTACAAATTTTTAAAACAAACCTGCTGAATTATATAAATATAAATATAAACAAACATAAATTAAAATAGTACTAAAGCATATGATGGAATAAAATTTAAAACTGAATTGTTTAAATCATTAACTATTTAATTTTATTTTTATTAGTTATAGGAAAGCTTATAACCATTATTATTTTAATATAATTCATTTATATACAGTAGAGCGTCAATTATCCGAAAGAATTCCAGTCGGCAAATTTAAATTTTTGCCAGTGCTGTGGCGCTGCAATCTTTGGCTATGTCTTGGGCTACTCAAATGTTTTACGTTTTTGATACTAAATTAACTTCTGAAGTATAATTTTTTATTGTTTTTATGTTTTTCAATATATTTATTTTGTTTGTACAAAATAAAAAAAATAATTTTTAACGACACAATAGTCTTCATTAGGCTTAACATTGACGAAAATTCAACACAAAGCGACACGCAATGGAGTAAAATTTCAACGTAGGATAAATTAATATATTTTTTTCGTACATAATTGGTTATCCGAAATATCAATTTTCCGAACAACCCCTGTCCCCAATTGATTCGGATAAACGACGCTCTACTGTATTTTAACGTTTGTACTTTTTATTTCAAAAATAAAACACAGATTTCTTCACTATAGATTACCTATTCACATAATGATATCTTTTCACCACCTGATAAAAGAAAGAGAAGTTTATATGATGAAGCAACAATTACAAATAGTGAATATTCTGAAGAGGTATTCACTGAAGATACAGATGAAATGCTTGAAGATTCTGAAGAATTAACTGACAGAAATGTAAATAGTCTTCCATCTGAATTTGATGAGTTTTCTAGAGGGAGAGCATTCTCAGATCGTTTTGAATTACTAAAAGACACATCAAACAAAATAATGTAAGTTTTTTAAATAAATTTTTTATATATCAGACCATCATTTTCTTTTATTATATAAATACATAGGTAATCTTATTAGAAATAAAATCTGTTCTGAAAATGGATATATATATATATATATATATATAATGATAATTACAAATACAAGGAATGTCTGGAACTAAAGAACATTTGCACATAGCATTCAGTGCAGGTAAATTACTGCCATCAATTTAAGGTAAATTTGTTCTCTAATGTGATAGCTTAGATTGTGTAGAATTTCAATAATGGCAGGCTTGTTTTGACTGTTTTGTCAAGAGTTAAAATATGTACAAAAATTGAAAATCTCATCAAGTGTAAAGTATTATTCATTTTCTAAATGTAAAGAAAGTTCATCTTACTGAAATTCATAAATAAACACAGAAGTATTTCGTGATTACATTATGAATGAAACAAGTGTGAGAAAATGGTGTTTAATGTTTAATCAAGAAAGCAAATACACAATCACACACTACTACATCCATTCAAGCTGTGCTTCAGAAATTTGACTGGGTTGTTTTTGACCACCGACTGTATAGTTTGTGCTCAAAAACATCTCATCAAATTTGCAATGTGTGACTTTGACCTTACCCTTTTTAAAATGTCACACTATGATTTCTTTTATGAGAAAGAAACCACTAGGTATCCGAATATTTTTGTTTAAAATTTCTCTATAAAAAATTGATGGTAAGAATCTGGCCTCCCAGAGACTTTCCATGCTGAAAGTTTTTGGGTGTATTTGGAATATTTTGGAATGGATGAGAGATGAAAGAAGCTGTCATTAACTGGCTGAAAGAACTGGCAGTGAAGTCTATGACAAACGAATCCAAAAAGTAGTGTTGTGCTACAACAAGTGCTTTAACTGCAATGGTGACTATGTACAGTAGAAAAGTAACTGATCTTGTACTCATTACTTAATAAAACTTTTTCCAATCATTACTTTGTTTGTTTACAAAAAAAAAAATTTATTTTCTGGATTGTAGTTTCTGGGCCCATGTAGTTGAAAAACTAGGAGCAAGAGGATTCAGTTATTAAATCTAATAATTGCCAGTTTTTGTCAGCTTAACATCATATGGAAGTCACTTACCATCAAAGATGTTAGAGGGATAAATGATTAGTGAATTTATTTTTATGTACTTTTGGAGGTTTTTGATTTAAAAAAAGTTTTCAGAAATAGTGTGTAACAGTGTTTCTATTAACATGAAAAATGTTTATTTCTTAACACCAGTGTTATGGAATCAGTAAATAAAAAGTTTGTGTCTGACTTTAGCAAATTTGCAATGTGTGACTTTGACCTTGTCCTTTTTAAAATGTCACACTATGATTCCTTTTATAAGAAAGAAACCACTAGGTATCCAAATATTTTTGTTTAAAATTTCTCTATAAAAAAATTGATGTACTGTAAATATTGCAATTATTGTCTGTTTCTAATGGCCAGGAGCCATATCTGTATGTTTCATTCGATTCTTAATAAAACAGGCTGGGTGCCCATGAAACTTTCCCTTTTCATCCCCTTTCCTATCTCGCTTTACTCTTTCCCCTTCGCCTCTTCCCTTAACTACCTTTCCTCTACTCTTCTTCACACTCGGGCAATACCAATGAGTAGTCCCGAGCAATGTTCCCTCTAATTCTTTTTGTAGCTGAGCGGAACATGTACTTCTCTGTGCAAAAAATAATTTTGCTGAGCAGATTCTGAGGAAAAAAATTTTCTGAGGATATATATATCCTCAGAAAATTTTTTTGCTCAGAATTATTTTTTGCACAGAGAAGTACATGTTCCGCTCAGCTACAAAAAGAATTAGAGGGAACATTGCTCGGGACTACTCATTGGTATTGGCCGAGTGTGAAGAAGAGTAGAGGAAAGGTAGTTAAGGGAAGAGGCGAAGGGGAAAGAGTAAAGCGAGATAGGAAAGGGGATGAAAAGGGAAAGTTTCATGGGCGCCCAGCCTGTTTTANCATATTTTTAATAATTTTTAAATTTAAAATATATGCTCTCCACCTTAAATTAGTAGTGACTTGCCCCTGTAAATCATACTTTTCCATTGGTAATAGTCATCTTGGTCATCTATGTAACTCCTTTCAGGGGAAAGTTTTTGAGTTGAAATAACGTGACTTCTGGTTTGCACTGGAAATTCATATATAGTTAATTGGGGTCTTCTGCCCCTAAGGTTTCCATATCTGGTATTGGCTTTCATCTATTTAACTCCATTCTCAAGATTAAGGACAGACAGATGGATGACAGTGGGCATTTATAGGTCTACAATTTTTCAAATTGCATCCCAATAAGTGACACAATATGGTTCTAGGAATGATAACTATTTGAAGGAAAATACTCAAAGTTATTTTATTTTAAGAACATAATTGTCAAATATTAGTCAGTCTTTGCAAAAATTAAAGTTTATTACTATACAGATATGAATTGGCTAATTTTTTTTTTTTTTTGTTTATGACATCTATTATGATATGAAATAATGATAAAGAAAATTATGATTTCATATTTCATTCAACTAATACTTCTATAATTATATTATGTTAAATGAAATATTATTGAAAAATATAAATAGGTAATTATTTAAAAATCATAATTAAATTATTTCTTATATATAAAAATGTTGCTTTAAATTTTGCATTGGTATTCAAGAATATGAATCTACAAATTTTTAAAACAAACCTGCTGAATTATATAAATATAAATATAAACAAACATAAATTAAAATAGTACTAAAGCATATGATGGAATAAAATTTAAAACTGAATTGTTTAAATCATTAACTATTTAATTTTATTTTTATTAGTTATAGGAAAGCTTATAACCATTATTATTTTAATATAATTCATTTATATACAGTAGAGCGTCAATTATCCGAAAGAATTCCAGTCGGCAAATTTAAATTTTTGCCAGTGCTGTGGCGCTGCAATCTTTGGCTATGTCTTGGGCTACTCAAATGTTTTACGTTTTTGATACTAAATTAACTTCTGAAGTATAATTTTTTATTGTTTTTATGTTTTTCAATATATTTATTTTGTTTGTACAAAATAAAAAAAATAATTTTTAACGACACAATAGTCTTCATTAGGCTTAACATTGACGAAAATTCAACACAAAGCGACACGCAATGGAGTAAAATTTCAACGTAGGATAAATTAATATATTTTTTTCGTACATAATTGGTTATCCGAAATATCAATTTTCCGAACAACCCCTGTCCCCAATTGATTCGGATAAACGACGCTCTACTGTATTTTAACGTTTGTACTTTTTATTTCAAAAATAAAACACAGATTTCTTCACTATAGATTACCTATTCACATAATGATATCTTTTCACCACCTGATAAAAGAAAGAGAAGTTTATATGATGAAGCAACAATTACAAATAGTGAATATTCTGAAGAGGTATTCACTGAAGATACAGATGAAATGCTTGAAGATTCTGAAGAATTAACTGACAGAAATGTAAATAGTCTTCCATCTGAATTTGATGAGTTTTCTAGAGGGAGAGCATTCTCAGATCGTTTTGAATTACTAAAAGACACATCAAACAAAATAATGTAAGTTTTTTAAATAAATTTTTTATATATCAGACCATCATTTTCTTTTATTATATAAATACATAGGTAATCTTATTAGAAATAAAATCTGTTCTGAAAATGGATATATATATATATATATATATAT